CTGTGTATGTGCACTTGGATGGGTTAAATGCAGAGCACAAATTCTGAGTATAGGTCACCATACTTGGCCACACATCACTTCACTTTCACTTTATCTATTTAACCCCTTAACGGTCATCCCCATTTTTGAAAATTCACGAGAAAGTGCACTATACAAACTTAAATTATTATGATTCATGAACGCTTTTGAACCTAAGGTTGGTCTCTTTTTAAAGAAGACAATTAGCAGAGTATTACAGAAGTGAAATCATTTAATAAATTGAAAGTATAAAAAAGTTATAGAAGTTTAAATTTACTGTAAAGAAAATGTATTGTACTATTTTTATTTTATTTTATATAAAATAAATATTTAAAAAAAATAGTTAAAAATACAAAATTGCTATAAAATTAAAGCCATATGTCTACATAAGTTGTGTTCCAAATTTGAAGTTGATATAAAAAAAATTTGAGGTTCATATGCAAATTTGTTTAGGCGTTATACCAAAAATAGCCACCGGGTGCCACCCAAACTCCACTGAATTTTTCTTTTGATGCATTTCTGTCACAAATCTATCAATTTCTCCCTCAATATAACGTCTATCAAAAAATAACCACATATAAAATATGGAATCTTGAGACTCGGACCTTTCCGACTATATGTATTTTGTCAAGATTATAAAAAGTTTTGATTCTAAAAGACCGTAATACATTTTGTAATATGACACCCCCGCTAAGGGGGAGGAGACCGCTACAAGATTTTGAAGTACCATTTCTATGGTATCGCAATGTCCGATTTCAAAATGGTTTTCACAGGATGAATTTTGAGATTTTACGAATTTCAAATGGTATATAACTTATGATGATTACTAAAACATGTGATAGGGAAAAGGGCAACGAAATAAAGACTTTTTGTGACAAAGGTCAGAACTCCTGTTATGATGTAGATTTGTCATAGACTCTTGGTGCACTCTTGTCATAAATTAATCTATTACTGTTCCTACATAATTTGTAACAAAAAAAATGGTGAAATATCTATTTTAGGAGTCTTAGACCTTTCCAATGATATATCGTTTGTCATGATTACATTAGGATTTAATTGTAATATAGTGAAGTAAACTTAGGCGTCAAGGGCCCTCCCCTTAAAAACAGGTCATTTCAGACAGAGGGTCAGAATGAGGGTTGAAAATAATAATTTTTCCACTTTTTTTTGTGCAAAAACTTTATTAACATTATAAGTAAACCTCAAGGAACATATGAAAATAATAAAACGAATCCATGTCATGACCCCTTTAAAATCTTTGTTTGTTGATGCTGTCATGAGGGCCAATATAAAGTCAACCTAATACAATGATAATAATAAAGATAAAGATAAATAGCAAACCATATCAAAGATAAATAGCAAACCATATCAGCCATCACACTGGTAATCAGTTTTTATCATTTTTATAACAGTGCATCTCTAATATTTAATGTTCTAAAATAGGTTAAAAACTATTACGATATTAACCATAATAATAATAACCATAATAAGTTTAGTTTTGCTTAACTGTCAATGACAAATATTATGACAGTGGTGTATAAGACTGATTCATGTGGACAAAAAAGTGATAAAACATATGTATAAATTGAAGAACTAGATAAACATAGAAGACACACAGAAGCTACAGATAACAAAAACCTTAAAAAGAACCCTATAAAGGTTCCTGCAGCTGTCAGTAATGAACAGCAGCCGGCATGTTTACGTACTATTATGCGGTTAAGGATGGGAAGGGTGCTGATGGCTAATCACTTATCTGAGCTCATTTCTCTCTCTGGTATTGTTCCTGTTCAGTGGACTTAGAGGGCTGGGCACAATACTGCCATTACAGCACCATGACATCACCAGCCCAACCAAAGCCAACTACACACACACTTACCAGAAACCTAAAACAAAAACACTGACTGCATGCACATGCAATCAAAGGGATGCGAAAACTAAGTCTATGATCCTGCTTGAAATATGAGCAGTGCTGGTGTTATTTTATAAGCATATAAGTATAGGGCTGGGGAAAACAATGCGTTAATTTCTGTGATTAATATAGGCTCCTCAAGTCTTGAAAATAATTACAAATACATCTTTCCTGACAGCAGGCAACTGATAATGGTGTGCAGGTGTAAGTGCAGCCGGTACAATGAAACTGCAAATGGTTTATTAAATTAGGGATACTCGGACAGATCTTAAAGTGTTGATCCTCCTAATACTAATGCTGATCTTCACATAAAAAAAATTTCAGAGTGTTTCTAATGGTGTGACAGAGCAACATCACCTGAAATTAGTTCAAACATAAAGATGAAGCTAAATGTGGCATCTATTATAATTTATTATAATACGTTTACATGACGATTGTTATAAATGTATATAAATCCAAAGTTATTATAAGATTAATCCATTCTCTAATTGTCATTAATAAATGATAAACAGAAACAGTATTCTACCAATATACAGTTATGTCTATTAAAGTCTAAAAATTCATGGATAAATCGATGATTAAAAACCTTCAATTTAAAGGGATAGTTCACCCAAAAATGAAAATTACCCCGATTTACTCACCCTCTAGCCATCCTAGGTGTATATGACTTTCTTCTTTCAGACAAATACAATCAGAGTTATATTTAAAAATGCCCTGTCTCTTCCTAGCTTTATAATGCAAGTGAATAGTGGTTGAGATTTTGAAGCCCAAAAAAGTGCATCCATCCATCATAAAAAGTACTCTACATGGTTCCAGGGGTTAATAAAGGCCTTTTGAAGTGAATCAATGCATTTGTGTAGGAAACATATCTATATTTAAAACTTTATAAACCGTAATCTCTAGCTTCCGCTAAATGTCATACGCACATTCACGAGAGAGTGGCGTTCATGGGGTAATTTTCATTTTTGGGTGAACTATCCTTTTAAGAGGAATCGATTTTAAACAAATATTATTTGAATTACTTCTTATATTGGTTCTACATTAGTTTGGGGATTTACTATGTGCAAATATATGTGCCATTCCCAAAGTTGTTTGAGATAAGTTACCTGAAGCTCATGTGATTTGCGGACTGTTTCCTGTTTGATGGTGTTTGTCATACTCTCCTTCATCTCATCCAGGATGGAGTAAAGCGTGTCAAATTCCTCCTCTAAATCCGACACCACCTGTGTGGAGTTGACCTGAAACATGACAAAATTTCAAAATGAAGGGAAACCAAAATCAGTTTACCACCGTTACTCTTAAAGTAATTAAAACCTGAAGGATCTTTATTTGCCAACCCCACTCACACCACCAGCAACTTGCAGTAACAATGTGACCTAAACACATTCATGTTCAAAATGACTAGGCAACTTTCCAATGCTACTAAACTGCTAAATCTACGGTAAATCATAGTCATGACATAAAAAGTTGAGACGCGTATTCATAATTATGAGATAAAACATCATCAGAGATAAGAAATTTAATTTATAGACATCATAATTATGACAAAAAAGTCAAAACTATGAGAACATGGGACTCTTTCAAAAAATGTTTCATTTTTTTTATTGACATAAAACTTGTTTGGTAATGACATTTGTTACTAGCCGCCAGGATTAGAAATACCTTCTAGCAACTCTGGTGGTGTAAATAAGATTTGTTGTTGTATACATTAGCTAATGTATACAGTGGAATACAGTAGGGCTGGGTTTTGACACAAATTTCACGATTCGAATCGATTCGATTCAATATCGATTATGTTGGATATATATCTGGTACTGGTACACATGCAAAATTTTCTCAAGGAAAAAAAATCTCTTAACTAATGCTGTAAAATATACATGAGAGTCAGTTGGTACTACATTACTATAATATTGAAGGTTAAAACTGACTGATTTTGTAGGCTATACAACTGCTTAAATTATACTAATCAAATTTTTATAATAAAAGTTACAATTACATAATATTTCTACTTCGATACGTTTTTTTAAATATAAACATTTAAATGGTGGCTGTCATAAAAAATGTGGAGGAGATGATCAGTTCACGTGCGCCTCGCGCTGCCGCTTTTATTGAACCAAGGCGCGCCGCGCTACAGCGATCACTCCACATTAAACAGCGCCAAAACGGCATTTATTGTTTCAATACTGCAATACAATGAACATAATTTGAAATCTGAGACTTTGTTTCATATTAAAAGTACCAAAGCACAATGCTTATTGCAATTTATTGGATGGGAGATGCCCTTCAACGTCCCATCCATTAACTAAAAACAGGCTAGACTAATCGATTCTTGGGATTTAAGAATCGAAATCGTTTCGTAAAAATGAGAATCGATTATAATAGAGATATCGATATTTTTTACCCAGCCCTAGAATACAGTGTTGCTGAGTTTGTACATCGTAACTTCATTTTAGAGTGCTTTTAGTGTACTCACCTGAACTCGACCCAAAGTGTGATTCAGCGTTTCAATGAAATTCTGGAGTTCTTCATTTTTGTTTGCTAATGTGGCAATTATCCTCTGTAAGGCATCCTGCAAAAAGCAAACAAACAAATCATACTGATACTCATTTAGCTGTCTCTTTGTTTTGTTGTATTTACTGTATCAGTCCTATTGCTCGTCATTTGTTCCTTTGTGTTTATTTTATTGCTGACCGTTTAATTGTCTTCAACAATTCCTTGAGAATATTTTACCTACATTAGTTAGCCTTTTATTCATGTTTCACGTGATACTAAAATTGGCAACAAGAATTGTGAGATTGCTCAGGTATCTAAATACCAGATGACTCTATCACGATTAAAGATTCTGACTACAGCGTCAGCCATATTGTTCATGCACTGATGTATCTAGGAAGGTGTAGAACAGTGCCAATTATGTTGCTAAACTGCCTATTTAAAACTTCGATAACCCATTTTGCGTGAACACTGTCTTACATCTTTCTACTTGCTTGACACACAAGTCTTGACGAGGTCTCACATTGCCTGGACAATGCCTTGCAATGGGGCCAGCTTTTTAACATGCATTGCACTTCTTGAACCTCCAACTCGCTTATTTCCAGTTCCAGCCCCTCTTGTTTGCACTGGTGCTATGGAGAACCTCTGAGAATTTTGCCTCTGACCTTTCTTGCAGTTATTGAAAAGTTCTTTTTTTGAACATTATGTTTATTGGGGGGTTTTTTTTCTCAAGTTAAACACAACATACAAAATAATCTAAATAGATAATTCCCATATACACTGCCCTATAACATGCCCCAGACCTCCAACCCATAATGCCACAAATAAGCGGTAAATAAAATTAAACAAGATAACAGAGAAAGTTAGATGATATCTAAGCATTCTGTATTGCAAAGTCTTTCTTGCAGAGGTCTGTCACCTCAACTTTGTTCAGTATATGAACATCAACTTTGTTAATGCATCAGCCACCTTTACTTCTTTGTATTTTGCCATTTTGGAATATTTTTTAATTGGGACACTGCTCATTCGTAGGGCTCATCCATACATTTTCAATCTCTTTCATGTTCTCTGTGAGTCAAAAACACACTACTTTTGTGTTATACTTGAAAACAGAATACCTAGTGATGTAAAGTTGCAGAGAAGACCAGAAAAAGACTATCTTCAGCAAGATGATTTAATGAAATTGTGCTATTTCAGTTATCAAGTCTAATGACCAAAGGATACTTTGCTTGTCCACATTTATTTGATGACACAACAATCTCAATTTAATTGCATCCCATGTCACATCATTGCATTATCCCCAAAAAAAATCTATTAAGTCTATTTTAAAATTGTATATATTTTAAAAATAAATATTTTAAATATATTTTAAAACACTATTCATATGCCTTGGCTATTGCTATGCTATAATAAAGCAGAGGAATTTTGACCTATTTATATATTCATCTCTGTCCTCTAAGGCTTGTTTACGGTGTCCCATATGGCAACTCATGTGGAAACTTCTCAGATGCTCTGCTCGAGGAATAACACTGGTTTTTATTTGCTGTGCAATACAGAAATACAATAGAGATCATCTTTAAAAAACTAATACCACCAAACAGAGATCAATAAACCCTGACAGAACTGACCAATTTTGATGCCAGGTCAATAACTGCTACCACAGACATGGAGCTATAAGAGATAGGAGACGGAGTTGGTAATTTGAAGTGTGCCGCACAGATGTATTATTTTATCTGATACACAGGCATTCATTTGCTCTCTAGTGAACCATAACTAGTTTGCAGAGTTCACAAGTTCACTGTTGGGATTGCTTCCACTTGTGAACTTGTGCAGCTATAACAAATGCTGGCTCTGCTAGGTAATGCAGTGATAAAGAGAATTTGCCTGCAAGACTTTCTCTTCATCTCATATTGTCAAATACAGTCTGTAGTCTATAGTTTATAGTCAAGCTATCATAACAGTGTAATTTTAATTTTCTCATCTGCCAACATGATGCTGGTTAATCTAGTTAAGTCTCAATTTTTTGGTTGATGCTTGCTCACTTCACTATAAAGTATGTGCAGACAGGCTGCAGTTCATTTAATGCCCACCGGTGTCATTAATAACAAAGGTTTCTGAATTCTCCGTATGGTCCCTTTAAGGAGAAGTGCAGTAATGCCACCACTGCAGGTTTCTATGACATGGCTATATGCAAAGCTAATCAAATTTCAGTGGAGGGACAATCCTCTGGTCAAAGGAGGAAAATAAGCGAAAGGAGTAGCTTGTGATCCAGTAACTTTGTGGATCAGGTAAGTCACTGTAATTCAGAGCAGCTTAAAGGGTTAGTTCACCCAAAAATGAAAATTCTGTCATTAATTACTAACCCTCATGTCGTTTCAAACCCGTAAGACCTTCGTTCATCTTCGGAACACAAATTAAGATAATTTTGATGGAATCTGAGAGCTGTCTGACCCTGCATAGACAGCAACGCAACTGAAATGTTCCCAAGTCCAGAAACGTAGCAAGGAGATCTGTAAAATAATCCATGTGACATCAGTGGTTCAACCGGCTCTCAGATTCCATCAAAAATATCTTAATTTGTGTTCCGAAGATGAACGAAGGTCTTACGGGTTTGAAACGACATGAGGGTGAGTAATTAATGACAGAATTTTCATTTTTGGGTGAACTAACCCTTTAAATGAGACCTGTAATGCAAAATTCACTTTTCCTCCCACTCCTATTTTATTCCCCATAAATCATAAGCAGTGTCGCAGAACAAGGCTTTGTTTGCAGAATCTATTCAAAGTGACATCACTTTGTACATTCCCCGCCCACGACTGTTGACGGAAAATGCCCTATTACAAGGCTCGAAATTGCGACCATTTTGGTCGCATATGCTCCCGAAATTTAATCTGTGCGACCTCAAAATATATTTGGGAGCATTTGTGCGAGTGCATTATAATTGTTGTCGTGCGACCCGTTTTAATTTCTCTAAAAACGTTCAGAGTATGTGCCTTCTGAGTGTTGATACGGTGACCTGTCTGCCGTTCTATGAAACGTTAGGCTACATAACCAATTAAACTTCATCTTTACATTCTTAACTTTAATGCAGATTTTAGATTGGTTAATATTAGCTGTCAATCACCCAGTCACTGCTTTCCGCTGTCAGGTGACAGGGAGCTAACTACCGCGGGGAATGTAAAGGGCTGAAGAAGAGAGAAAATAAAAAAAGAAACACTGACAGATTTATTTTGTGAACCACCTAAAGTTACAAATAATGGTGCTGGTGATAGCGATCATGTGGTGAATGTTGATCCACCAGCCGAATAGAAGGCGTACAGTTTTCGGAGAGAGTGGTTGAAAGACTTCTAGTGGCTCCGCTATGAAAATGGTTCTATGCACTGCGTTCACTGTAAAGCCTGTGGGACGGAGTTTGCAGGTAACAGCGTTCGCCACCGAATCTACACAGTGGTGCTCCTAAATTTTTGGTGAGTGCTCCTAACTTTTTGAAGTTGGGAGCACCAGTGCTACCAAGTAAAAAAGTTAATTTCGAGCCCTGTATTAGCATAGAGAACTTAGTTTAGTAAGATTATTACTAGACTACTAGTACTAGTACTACTAGTACTAGACTAGTTTAGGACTAGATCTGCTAAGCACACCGCTGCTGCTGCAGAGCAAGTATGTACTTGCTACTAGGGATGGGTATTGCTTACATTTTATCGATACTGATTATGGTTGGGCGATGTCTACTAAATTGGCACCGGACGATGTCTGCAGTGAAACATCGTGATGGACGATGCAGAAAGGCACGGAAAACAAATAACGCGTTCTATGGAGCCACTAAAGGGACGGTTAGCCGCTTGCTAGCGGATACGATACCGATACTGCTTATCGATACCGGTACTTATCGATACTGTTATTGATACTATTTGGTGCAAAAAGATATGATGTGAAAAGTTGTTGAAAGTTTCAAGTTATTTTATTACTGCTGAACTTTAGCAACTGTTTTAAAGTTATTCAGTCAAGAGCAGTGAATTATTTTTCTCTTTGTGTTTTATTTTATTAACATTAAAGGAATAGTTCATCCAAAAATGAAAATTGTGTCATCATTTACTCACTCTCAAGTTGTTTTAAACCTGAATAAGTTTCTTTCTTCTGTTGAACATAAAAGTCATTTTGAAGAAAGTGGGTAACCAAACAGCTGCTGGTCTCCAGTGTCTTCCATATTTTTTTTCCTACTATCAAAGTAACTGTTTGGTTACCCACATTCTTCAAAATATCTTCTTTTGTGTTCAGCACAAGAAAGAAATTAATACAGGTTTGGTACAACATGACAGTGAGTAAATGATTACAGAATTTAAATTTTTGGGTGAACTATCCCTTTAATGATAATCGGCAGCATGTTTAGTACTGTCGATTTAATAGCTGCACGCATCAGTTTTTTGCTCAACTGTTTACTTTCACTTTAGACATAACTAACTGTGTTTATATGTAAACCGTGTGTTTTTGACAGTACTAAAACAATCAGACGATAACTAAGTTAACCAAGTAATCAGGTGCTGTTTGACCGGCCTTTTAGTGTACGCACGCTTCAGGTGTACGTGCTCTGAATAAGCACATGTCAGAACAGCACGCGAATGAAATGTTTAACCGGCAAGGCTTTAAAGCACACGCAAATAAGTGCAGTGTCTCGTGAGTGTAACTCTACCGCTGAATTAACATTTGATGTGAATGTGTCTCGCGAGTTGCAGTAGGAGCTGGAGCCGGGAGACATAGTAAATACAGCGTATTGCTTGAGGTAGATATTGTGTTTTGTTAGTAAATGTTTAATTATATTACTAGTGTTGCCTCCTTTGTTCACTATTACACTTCTGCATATATTGCATCTGACACTGGTGTCGCTTAGATTTGTAACGTGAGCCCACACTTTCGAACGTTTCACTCTTGCCACCATGACTGATTCACACGCAAACACACACCACATGTGCATGGATATCACACGCATGTCGAGCAAACATCGGCCACATCATTCAGTGAAGGAAAATGACAAGCAGCAACATCTAATTCGCCATAAACATTGAAGTATACGGAGATAAAACA